CGCTCCCGCCTGAGGGTTCAGATCCCACATACAGACCGGTTCCGGCTCACTGGCTGAGTGAGGCGCGGGAGCAACACCGAGGGTTGCAATCCCGTTGCCAGTCCCCGGTCCGGTACGGGGGCAACACTGAGGGTTGCGATCCGTTGCCGGACATGGAAAAAGACAAAAAAAAAAAAAACAAAAAAAAAACCGTATGGTCTTTACAAGACACAAATCTGATAAAGTCAGATCTGACAAAGTCTTCCCTGCTCCTTGGCTCCCCACAGCCTTAAGATATAACGTGGTGTCAGGAGGGGGGCTCCAGCCTGTGGTCTACCTTCACGGCTACATGCAGGTGACTAACCGGGTCCCCAGCTCTCCTGCTGTGCCTTTGCACACCCACCTCCATCTGCCAGGAATGCCTTCCCCAGCTTCCTCACTGGCCAACTCCTGCTCTCCCTCAGGGATGAACTCAATTGATGCCTCCTCTGAGGAGTCTTCCCTGAGTCCCCAGGCTGGACTGGGCTCTTGTCTTCTACCCTCCTGTACCACCCTGCTGTAAATTATCTCTAATTCATTTGACTTAACAAACACACATGCAGTGATTGCTATTTGCCAGGCACTACTGCAGGTGTTTTATAAAGATTAGCTCACTGAATTCTTTACAAACCCTATGCAATAGGAACTATCATCATCCCCATTTTACAGATGAGGAAAATGAGGCATGGAGAGGGTAAATATTCTGCCTGGGGTCACATAGCTGGTAAGTGGTAGGACAGGGAAGTCTGGCTCTAGAGCCCAGGTTCCTTCCCACCCTACGTGCTGCCACTTCTTACCAGTCCCAGCACTGCACAATGTATTCCAAGTGTCTGCTTGTGATTTTCCTCTACTGAACAGAGAGCTCCCTGGGGCCCCTGAGGAGTTAAAGTTCCAGACCAGCCCATGGCCTAACATCCAGTGGAAACTCAAGGAACATTTGCTAAAGAAAAAAGTTGTACATACTCATTGGCACTTGATCAACAAGGAAAGATAAAATTTATAAAACCTTGGTGTTTAGAGAGACTTTAAATGTGATCTGGCCCAATGACCTGCCTGATATCCTCTCTGGGAAACAACCCTCCAGAGCTCGCAGACCTCAGTGATGGAGAACCCACCACCCACTGTACCCTGAGTGGCACTGACTTTTAGAAAGTTCCACCTTCTGCTTACCTAAAATGTGTCTCCATGTTCATCTGGACCACACAGAACAGGCCCGACTCTTCTTGCAGAGAGGGCTCTTCAGATATTGAAGACAACGCTGTCTTTCACTTCTGCAGGTTAACTCCCCCTCCCCTCTTCCACCTGGGGATCTGAGTCTCCAGTCCCCCTTCAACGTTTCCCTCTGAACCTGCTCTGGTCAGCTGGGGCCCTGCCCAAGAGGGCAACCCCAAATATGGGTGCCATGTGCTCAGTATAGATCAACCCCATCATGGCCAGTGTACTCTGATTAAAAACAAATAAATGTACGAGGATATTTCAAAAAGTTCATGGGAAAGTGGAATTAAAAGATAATACAAGTCTTTTCATGAACTTTTTGAAGTATCCTCATATGATATATTTCAAAATATCTGACCACTGCCAAATGGCTGAAGTAACAAGGTTTGGCAGCAAAGAACACCAAGAGCCTTGGTTTCTGATGATAGTGTGTTATGATGGGACTCTGGGCTAGTCTGCTTAAAAGGTTTATGTTGGCAATGTTTCCACGAGCCAAGGGTTTTCCCAAAAATCTCCATTCTTACACCAATCTTGCAAAGCAGCAATAATTATTTTACAGAAGAAGACATACAGGCTTCCATGAGCCAAGAGTTTTTCCAAAAGTTTCCATTCCCACACTAACCTTGCAAAGCAGCGATAATTAACTTTATTTACAGAAGAAGCAGATCACATGGCTGTTTAGTGGGGAAGCTGACATTCAAACCCAAGGCTGCGGTTCTCGAGAGCCTTTGGCCCCCCTCACGCTGCCACTTGGGGAATGCCGGTGGGAACGTGGCAAGATGAGCACAAAATAGGCATGAAGGAAATGTGGGTTAAAGCAGGAAAGTGGGCGACTGCGCGTGAGTGCAGCAGAGACACAGCTAACGATCCCATGTCTTCACATCCCGACAGTCCTTTCCCGCTGCACTAACGGAGTCCTGCGATTTGAGAAGTTATCTTTCCACTTGTATGTATTTTAACGACAATAACTAAAAATATTTATGACTTACTTGTTCCCTTCCCCAATTCAAGTATCAGGCATTTCAGAATGTCCCAATTTCCTACCTCAAAAACATCAAGGACTTGAAAATACAAAATGAATGATTTTGTACTAAGGACTATTATCATATGGCAAGTCACTCGTACCATTTAAGATAACATATTTCATGAAACTATGAACAGTATCTTAATCTTTTTTGTATCCCTTCCATACCACCCCCACCCCCACAGTGTAGAAAAATGTCAGATACACATAAGCACTTAATAAATACAAGTGGGCTCACTATGCACTTTCCACAGCCAGAGGAAGAAATGCTTATTTAAACACCCTGATTTTTGAATTTTAACCTGTTCGTAATTTTTTCATATTCAAAACATCAGAAAAAGGAAGTTACCAACAAGACAAAGTAAAATATATAATCATTGCAGAAAACAAAACTGTACTGTTTACTTAAACCAAGAGAAAAGCAAGTTATATTTGCTTCAATATATTACTTAAAATAATTATGAGAGTACTTCAAAAAAATTAGTGGAAAAATAGAATTATAAGATAATAGAAATCCTTCCATGAACTTTTTGAAGCACCCTCATATGTGCTAATTTAGTATTCAAAAATTAGTCAAAAAAAATAGTTAAGTCCATACATTTTACGGTAAGAATGAAAACATAAATGTTAATGAAGCATAAACCTCTGTATTACGAATTACTGCAGTTTCTTACACCATAATAATAAGCAACCAATAAAACAAATACATGAAGTAACTAAACTCCATTTCTACAGAAATGGGGAAATTCCAGAGTTACAGTTTACCTAGCAGGAGAAGAGCAGCAAGAACACCCATATCTCAGTATCTTTCCGAACTCCAGCGTAGCCAAGAATAAAGAGCTCAGACCCAGCCCGGCTAATTCACCCTGCAAAATTTCCCTTAAAAAAAAGTATGGCTGAAAATTGGCTTTCCTAAAACAGAAGGTACTTTCAGAAGAGTTATATAAGCAAAACACACAGGCCAGTTCAGTGACGTGGAAGCCAGCTCATGCAAGAGCAACGCAGCGATCTCAAGTAGCCCACGCTCACACCTCAGAACCCGGCAGCTTCTCAGAACACAAATCAGGGTTGACTGTAACATCGAGTCTCTCCCACCAAGGGATGAAAAATTTTTAATGACAAATTACAAACAAACGACTGAGTCTTACCACACTTTTTGGAAAGGATTCGTATTTTACAGTTCATTCACCATCTGGAGTATTTTTAAACTTCTCATGCCTACCTTCTCTTGACCTCTTTTCTAATTTTGGAAGGGTAAAATTAGTATTTTTAATTCTTTTTACTATTAGAAATAGCCTGTCGTATGCACCAGATGTGTGCACAGGAATATGTCACGACTGGAGGTGAATCAGGGAAACCTGCTCAGGGTCCTTCCAGCCACCTATTCCTAAGGCTGGGTCTTTCCTGCATCCCTCTGAACTCTCACAACATCCCACCCACTGAGCCACCTGCTCTTCTTTCCTTCATTCAAACTGCGACAGAAATGCCACCTCGTCACAGAGCTGCCCTGGGCGGTGATGAGTGCCAACTACCTGTCTCCCACCCATCAAAGTGAGGTGGTGACACAGAGGGAAGGCAGGTGACAACAAAAACACAATTCCTGGCATTGTACAGATGTTTTCTCAGCTTCAAGTGCACAGGCAAGAGGAGAAAAGTGAATTAGGGTCAGCCTGCTTCCCAGAGCAGGCACAGAGTCATTCATTCAACAAACATTTATGAAATACCTACTACATGCTGGCACTGCTGGTTCCTGGGATATGGAGGGAAACAGGACATGGTCCCCAGTCTCAAAGAGCAGTGTTGCAGAAGACAAGACACAAGAACTGAAAATTATGACAATGCCTGGTTGGTGTAAAGAGGGGAACAGGTTCAGGGCATCCTGATGTACAGCAAAGAAGCACAAACCCTTGGGGGAAAAGGGCAAGGGCCAAAAGAGAAAGGATGGGAGGGGAAGAGGAGAGCTCTACAGGCAGAGGAACAGTGGGGTCTGGGCACAGAGAAGAGACTGGCACCAGCAGAGGAGGGTCAAAGGAGGACAAGGGGCCTCCCAGAAGAGCACAGGCCACTACTGAAGGGGTGCAACCAAGGAGGGGCCGGGGCCAGGGCCAGGTCTGTGTTTGAGGACAGCCACCCTTGGAGCAGCCGTGGTGTGCACAGATTTGGGGTGCAGCCTGAGCACAGTGAGCCTGGTGAAACACGCCAGTCAGTGAGGCCCGTGGACAGCCCTCACCAGCCTGCTTTCGTCCCACTAGACTTTGCATGCACAGCCCTGCTGCCCAGGGGGCCAAGCTTGAGACCAGCGACCTAACCCCCCAATCTGCCCCAAACAACTCCAGCCCCACAGCTGACTGAACATAAAATGGACACGCAGCTCTCAGGGAACCAGCCAGCAGGCCAGCATATCTGCTCTGTGTGGCTTGGCACAAGGAGTCAGACTGGTCCACACCGTGTCTCCACCTCGGGAACCTGAACTAAGAATGAGGGAAGAAGCAGGAGGTTTATTCTCCTGTGCAGAAGTCAAAAACGAGCCCAAGACCTTGTGAGTGCCCTAGTTCCTCACTGCTCAGTGGCTTTTGATTCTTGCTTGCAACTGTCCCCCATGAGCTCCAGTGATAAAAAGACTCTTGTTGGAAACCTCTCTGTTCATTTAAAACACAAAGGCTTTGGGGCCTCTGCATTTCCTACAAACAGGGCTGTGTGTTTCAGAGCGTGGCCCCTGCCCGCCCCCAGCCAGCCGACTCACAGAACTGCAGGCTGAGGCTCAGGAAGGCGAGCAGCGCAGCCAGGGCCAGCAGCAGCAAGAAGCGGTTGCGGAAAAGCATTATGATCCGTTCTGTCTTCTCTTCATGATTTCACTCAAATCGGGAACACGTCCTGTGAATAAAGCAGAGGCAATAAACAAGTGTTCTGGGGTAGAAAACCAAGTTTGTCAACTGAAAATAATCCAATTAGCCCAGGGCCCTGGCAGGGAAGCGTGAACCCCTAGCTGGACAACAATAACATTCTCTGTGATTAGTCTCTGTCCCCAAATAAGCCCAAGTGAGAATGCACCCTTCTAGTTTACAAGAGGAAACCAGTTCATGAATGCTTCGCTTATCTGACATCGACAGGGAATGAGCTATTTTATAGACATGACCTTTGCAAGGAAAGACGTAAAGGACATTTACTGAGCATGTACAATGTGCCAGCCAGGGAAGTCTTTACGTGGACCAGCTCACCCCATTAGGACCTCCAACCTTTACACCTTCAACCTTTTTGATGAACATATTTTGCTACGCTGGCCTTGGTCGTCTTTAACTATAATCATTAATCTGAACGTCTGTCATTGCAACATGTCCCACAGTCATGCTTTAAAGGACGGTTGGCTTGTGCAAGAGGCCTTGTTCCTATACTAATTGGCCTCATCTGCTAATTAGAGACCTCCCCTCATCCCAGAGCAGTGAGCCTATTTCAGCTGTGTCCATGAATCTCCCTGCAGCCCCACCCCACCCATTCGAATTTCCTCTAACCACATTAGAACTATGCAGAATGACTTAAAAAAAAAAAAAAAATGCTGAGGCCCTGAATGTCCCTTCTGTGAAAAAAGTGAATTGCTACTATAGGTCATGCCCTATCAGTCTTAGATATCAAGTGTATTTCATGTTCTTGTTTGGAGTTTTAAATAGAACTTGAAAACTACAGTCCCTTTAGAAAAGGTCCTTAAACTACAGTAAGGTTATAATAGTAATTTAAAGCCTGAATCTTTCCCTCCTATAAATATAATCTCCTTCAGAGCCCTGATAGACCAAATCACATAGAAGCTCATCCGCTACTGTGGTGAGGGTTACACGGCTCTGTGAATATACTAAAAGCCACTGAATTGTACACTTGGGGGGAACTCGTGGTACATGAATTCTATCTTGATAAGCTGTTTTATAAAAAAGCACATCTGCTGGGAATGAAGCAGGAGCTAGAACCCTGCAGTCCCTTGCTTCTGACCCCCTCCCCAAGGGCCCTGCAGAAGAGTTTAAAAACCATTCCTTTAAGGAACCCACCAGACTTTCTACCAAAAGAGAATATTTGCTAAAAGACTGACAAAAATTCACTTGCATCTCACAATTGAGACTATATGTCCAGCAACCAGTACCTCTGTTAACAAACAGATCTCAATTTCACGCCTTCAAATGAGAACTGCTTCTGTCCCTTTGGTCATCACCAGTGCCCCAAGGTGAGTACTGGACATTCCTTGTTCTTGTCCACATCCCTCCCTCTGCAGCTCTGGGTCAAATCTCGCCTGCAGGCCTCTCCCCACTGGGGCCTGGGAAGCGACACTGCCAGCCCTGGGCAATCACCCAGCCCTGAGTTCTGAGCCCGGATGGTGTCTCTTCCTTCGTTGCCTCGGAGGCCAACCCTGCCTCTTGGTTGCTCTGTGTCGCATGTAGGAGGCGAGGGCCTTGCTTCCACTGCTGAGTGAGGTCTGGCCCTTCAATCACTTCCTGCTTTCAGCCTCTTGGGGGATTTCCCACCTCACTCACTGGCAGGAGAAGTCACTAGAACAGCTAAGCACATTTCCTACGGTTTTACTTGACAAAGCCTTTTCACACAGGGATCAACCACAGTTTGGTTCAGAGTTGTCTTCACGTGGACATTAGGTAGAAACAATTGCTACTTGCTAAGTTAAATCTCTGGCTTACAGCATGGCAGATTTGTTGCAGTAACGGCCCCCAATTCATTCATGCCTTTCTGTATCCATACCTCATGTGTCTCCTACCACACGGGCTCTCACTTTGGCCAAGGGATTTGTTTTGGCCAATGGGACATTAGCAAATGTGTTGCAAGCAGAGATTTGAAAAGTACTTATGCATTGGGCTTGTTCTCCTCTGCTTTTTGGAACACTCAAAACCACCACGTGAAGACGCCCAGGCTAGATTCCTGGAGGATGAGAGACCACATGCAGCCGAGGCAAGCAGTCCCGGCTGGGGCTCTCTTCAAGCCCTCAGCCTGCCAGCCACCACACATATAGGTAAGGCCATCCTAGACCATCCAGTTCCAGCCATACCACCCACAGAGGCATATCAGTAGAGTCTGCCCAGACCAGAACTGCATGGCCCAGACCAAAAGAATTACAGTGGTTTGGGGAGCTTGATACAAAGCAAACACTAACTGATCCAATAAAGAGGAAATGCCTTGGATCTTTACCAGCAAATTCTAAGCCAGAATCTAGATCTCCATATCCTCATCTGTAGGCACCACATGCAAATCTCCATCTTGTCTACATTTTTTAATATGTTGCGTACTTTTTGGGAAAGGGGCTATATTTAGTTCTAGATTTAAAAGACTGAGATATGTTGGGTTAACCAGATGGCTGAGATCGTGTAGCTGTCTTCCTGCTTCTAGTCTTTGGACTGCTGACATCTCTGTCTACCCACGGCTTTCCACTTGATGAACTGTGGGAACTTCCACTGTTGATACTCTCTGGTACGATAGAGTCCAAAATTCACACGGATTTGAAGATTATGTTTGCAGCTAGAGCTAGGACCCCAAGGGGTAGGGGTAGGGTTGTGTGTGTGTGTGTGTGTGTGTGTGTGTGTGTGTGCATTTGTGTGCGTGTGTCCAATGGAACTGGAGCACATCATTCTGCTGCTGTGGGCACTTCTTCACTGGGGACACATCTTCAGTGGAAGAGACGGAAAGGAGCCTTAATGCAGTGGAAGGGACGAGGCTGCAGAGACTGGCAGATTTGTGTTCAATTCCCAGCAATGCTGCTTATTTTCTGTGTGCCCTCCTGACAACTGACTGACTTCACTTTTCTTTTTTTTTTTAAAAAAGATGACCGGTAAGGGGATCTTAACCCTTGACTTGGTGTTGTCAGCACCACGCTCAGCCAGTGAGCAAACCGGCCATCCCTATACGGGATCCGAACCCGAGGCCTTGGTGTTATCAGCACCGCACTCTCCCGAGTGAGCCACGGGCCGGCCCCTGACTTCACTTTTCTGAGGTGCAATACCCTGATTTTTAAATAAGGCTGGGGAGGAGCTATGAAAGAGCAGGCAGCGGTGACAAGCAAGAAACCACAACAGGCAGAGCACCGGGCACAGACTAGTACTGCTGTGTTTGACCCCCCGGGCTCTGCAGGAATCACACAGACCCCTCCACCATTATTTAAAAACAAAGACCTGCCCTCTCCTTTGAGCTGCTGCTTCTGCTCCGCTCTGCAGTTCCTCTTCCAAATCCTGGCCACTGGCCCCTGCCCTGCTCACTGGCCCCATCCCCATCGGTCAGGGCAGGCAGCCACATCTGCAGCCACATATGCAGCCGCAACCATGGCTCCTCCACCGTGGAGAGCACTGCGGGCAGCCTGCCTGGGGCTGACTCAGCTGTTGTGTCCCCGCCTTGTCATAGGTTTTCCAGTCTGAGACATCTGCCTCAGCTTCTGTGGGGCCCCACCTCAGGAAGATGAGGATTACCAGCCAACCCATTCTTTATGGTTCTGGGGTCCAACCTTCAGCCTCAGCTCTCCAGTGCTCCCTTCCCCTTTCCCATCCGCAGCTAGGAGGCTCACGCATCCCCTCCAGGAGTCACGCAGGCTTTGCATGCTCTTTCTGCCATCTTCCTGCATCTTCCTCCGCAGGGACTCTGCAACTGCCCCTGGGGTCCACTGCAGCTCCTGCAGATACCCCATCAGACTCATACAAGTCATGCCAAGTGACAGCCAGGACTCCAGGCCACAGCCTGCTCACTCACAGCCCAGAAAATGAAGTCCATGGGAAAGCTCACTGCTGTGCTGGGACTGTAGCTCCCACCTCTCCTCATCCCTAAACATCTCTAAAGTCCCTTCAGCTTCCACGGAGAAGATGTCCTTGACTTAATGTGGCATCATGACCAAACCCAATTCCCAGAAGTACTTTTGTGGAGACAACTGTTATATGTCCAGGCTGAACATGCAACAGTTCCCAGTCATCAAATGTCTACTGGGCACAGCTTTGGTCTCCTGTGCTAAACCCACACAGGGAAAACATCTGAAACCCAAAACGGAATTATTACTCTGAATTCCCAATGAAATATGAAAAACCAAATGAAACAAACAAACAGAAAATCCAGCTAACTCCATCCAACCCTACAACAAATCTGAGTGCCGAAAGATTTTAGAATTTAATTTTGAAAACACTAGTTAATAAGCAGTTAATATCACATTATGGTAAATATCATTTCTGAATTAAAAGAAAAAGGAATGTGTCAAAGGCACTTTTCCAAGCTATGGTTCTAGCAACAGAGACTTACAGAGCCCAGCCCTGGCCTGTCTGTTACCTTGAAAGAACTAGAAATGCCACGTCTAGCAACAGACTCTGTTCTCAGGGCCCCTTCAATGTGTACAGAATTTTGGGTTTTAAACATCACCACAGCTGCTTCAAAGAAAATGTGCATTCAATTATCTTTCGTTTGCGTAGTTAAAATGCCATTACCAGGAATAGAAAGATGGTATTAAAGAAAATACTTTAGATGTATTCTATACTTTGATTTTTTTGGTCATAATCATTTTGACCTCAGTAAATATAGCATTATAATTAAAACAAAAAAAAAGCCAGAGACCTCAATTGTGAACTAAACATGAACCAAGCAAAGGTAAAAGATACATTTTAATAGTTGTCCCTCTCCAAGGTCATCTCGAACTGGAGTTTAACTGCAAAATCAAAAATGCTTGGCTAAGAATAAACCAACCTTGGAGTCTGATACAGATTCCAGAGCATCCTGGAAACCCCAGGCAGCAGGACAGGCACCTGGGATGGAGGGACTGTGGGTTTACAGCAGTTATTCTCAAGTCCATGGTTCTCCAGTTAATTTGTAAGCTTGGTTCTGAAAATTGAAGCCAAATAATTCACTCATGGGCCGGT